AGACCCTTACAACGCACGTAATGTCTTAAACCTCAAATTGACCATATTTAGAATAACGTTATGAGCAGAAATGGGCAATTAACACTCGGGGAACACTAGGGAAATTAACATTCGGCACATTTTTTGGCCGTTTTTATGGGTGGCGAGTTTGCAGTGTTTTACAGTAATAATGCAAGTGAGTAATTTCCCTTTTAAAAAAGAAATAAAAGTGACATAAAGTGTTGTAAAAATCATGTCGCAGACGTCTGACTGAAACATGAACACGTGAACAGAATTGCGCGCGCCTGCGACAGAAATGGCGCGAAATCTTGCAAAAGTTAGAACAAACGTGAGCGATAACGAGAACTTTAAAATGGACGTTACATAAAGGTAAGTAAAAAATGATTTAAAAATACGTTGTATAATTGAAACATTACAACAAAATATGCTAAGAAATAAAGACGAACTTCAAAGGCGGCCGTAGAGAGTTATCTAAATCGTTGGTAAATCATATTTTTAAAGAAATTGAGATTTGGTCAGACCTGATTTCTCAAGCATTCGCCTCACATATTTAATTTTTGTGTCTTACATTTCAGGTGTGTTTGGGTAAGACGTGCTTTAATTATAGTATCAGGCCACATTTTGTTTTAATATAAAAAAACACACAGAATTGAGCCTCGGTTGAACCAGATGTCAAGGAATGATGACCATCTTTGCTTCATATCGAGGCCAATTTCCACAACATTAGAAACAAATGCTTTGGAAATTTTAATTAAGATATCATTAAAAAACCCGTAATATTATGTCATAATATAATTTTGTCGTAATTATGATTTAACAATGCATGAGTATGTATGAGTTTCGTTCTTTTGTGGAAGTTTTAGTATTTTTCTTTTCTTCTACTCACATTCTTCTTTAAAAAAAATTCTATTTAGTTCCACAGAACAAAGAACCACATACAGATTTAGAACAACTTGAGGGTGAATAAATTATGACACAGTTTGTGTTTTCTGGTCTCACAGTTCATCCTACAGGGGGCGCTGTTGCCCGCGACTGGAAACAAGCCTATGCATTTATTCAGTGTATTACAGTTTTTCTCGATTGTTTACACACATTTTCTGAAAGAATGCCTCATATTCTCAGAACTCTACACACAAATCTAAAAACACTCACACAATTGGCAAAACCCCTCAATTCTCCTGCAAAATGAAACTTTACATTTAAAACAATGTTATTTCTTCTCAAAATGGTATTTTGTTTTCAAATGACACACACAAACCATCATATGAATAGACATTTATAAGAACCAGTTGAACACTGATGTGCTCAATGTAAACACTATGATCAATGGAAAACACTTCTTCTCCATTCATCATAATGACTTAGGCCTTTTTTGTTCAGTGTTACACTTACTACAGATATTACATACATAACTGTGTTGTAAAATATTTGAGAATATTGTTTTTTATACACAGAACACACAAATACACAGTAACAAATATATTTTACTTTTCCCACAAAATCAATGGGAGATAGATACCCCAACCAACACAAAGTTGCACATACAGTGGTCTACATACAAAACAACAGAATTTCTTAGGCTGTTACAGTTAAAAAATAAAAAATAAAAAAAATATCTATGCTGCATCCTCTCTTTGGTTTTGGTATTTTATGCTAAAGCTCTGATTGCTAATTGTAAAACTGTGTGAAATGTGACGAGTCAGTGTGAATATTTGAATGGCAGTGTGTTCCTCATGAAAACAAGAGATTTTCTGCATGAAAATTGTGCCAAATGCAGAGAATTTGTGTGTAGTGTTTTGAAAAAAGTGTGTTTTAGAACTGCAATTTGAGTGTAAAGCAGGAATTGTAGTTCCTTGTAGTTTAGTAGAATTGGTTCAGGGGGTTGGCGAATGAGTTACATGTTGTGGTCATTGTGTCTCAAGTACCAGAAAATGTGTAAACAATCGAGAAAAACTGTAAATATATTTCCCTGTTGCCGCTTAGAGGTGAATAAATACACAGCATAGTTAGGGAAATATTAGAAGAATATTAAATATTTTTAATGCAATAAATTCCAGCATATTTTTTTTTTAATAAAAGTGATGTTACAGTTTTTCTCGATTGTTTACACATATTTCCTGCAAGTATGCCTCATACTCTCAGAACTCTACACACAAATCCAAAAACACACACACACAATCGGCAAAACCCCTCAAATTCTAGTGCAAAATGAAACTTTACATTAAAAACAATGTTATATATTCTCAAAATGTTATTTTGTTTTCAAATAACACACACAAACCATCATATGAATAGACATTTATAAGAACCTGTTGAACACTGATGTGCTCAATGTAAAACACCATGATCAATGGAAAACACTTCTTATCCATTCATCATAAGGACTTAGGCCTTTTTTGTTCAGTGTTACACCTACTACAGACATTACATACATAAGTTTGTTGTAAAATATTTGAGAATATTGTTGTCCAGAACACACAAATACACGGTAACAAATATATTTTGTTTTCCCACAAAAACAGTATAGATAGATCGCACATTTCATACACCCCAACCAATACAAAGTTGCACATACAGGGTCTACATACAAAACAGAAAAAAATGTTTATGCTGTTAAAGTAAAAAAAAAAACAAAAAAAAAACCGAAATAAATATCTATGCTGAATCCTCTCTTCGGTTTTGGTATTTTAAGCTCTGATTGCTAATTGTAAAACTGTGTGACGTGTGTTTTGCCCATGTGACGAGTCAGCGTGAATATTTGAAGCGTGTTCCTCGATCGTGAAAAAAAGAGATTTTCTGCATGAAAATTGTGCCAAAAGCAGAAAATTGTGTGTAGTGTTTTGAAAAAAGTGTGTTTTAGAACTGCAAGTTGAGTGTAAAGCAGGAATTGTGCTTGTAGTTTAGCCGAATTGGTTCAGGGGGTTGGTGAATGAGTTAGCCTACATTTGTGGTCACTGTGTCTCAAATACCAGAATTTGTGTGTAAACAATTGAGAAAAACTGTAATAGATGTGCACACATATGCTCATAAACTAAAGCTGCCAACGAAAATTCAAAGCAATATTTCATTACTTTCCCCTCACATGTTATTTTGAAAAGTGTGTTGACTGGATCTAATCTGGATAAAAAGTCATAAAAACATCAGCAAGTTAGTGATCGTTGACGAGGATATTTGGCACGTCTTCAAATATACAAAAGCAAGCCAAAACATCATTTTGTCTGATATCCACTGCATTACGAACACACTTCTCTAATGGACAGACAGATAGTCTGTAAATAATAATAATAATGGTGTCGAAGGGAATAATATTAATAGTTGCATTGAGTTATGAGGCATAATGAATCAGTTTAGTTTATAATTAGAAGGAAACCTGTTCATGTGTTAATAATTAATAGATTATTAAATTATCTTAATATCCAAACATTTCAATTGATTTGGGTATTATGTAATACAAATGAATCGTATTTTGAAAACACTTAAGGGTCTTTAAAATGAACTAAAAATGAACAATTTACAGAATCTTAGTTAATATTAATGTTACCATTTACTAATACGTTATTAAAATCAAAGTTTGTATTAGTTAATAGACTGTGAACTAACATGAACATATGTATTTTTATCAAGTAACATTGCCAAAGATTAATAAATGCTGTAACAAATGTGTTGCTTATGGTAGTTATTAACTAATGAACATTATTGTAAAGTATTACCAGTATTTAAAGAAAATGCTGATTCACAAAGGCATTCATTAATACATGTAGACTGAAATCAATTTTATAGACAAATAAATGTGTTCTGTCTGCTAAACAGGAACTTCATAGCAACTTAATAACCCGATTAAGCAGATTAACGTCTGCCTTGATCACACATTAATCACCAGACAGAAAATGCAAGTCACATACCTTTTATTTTTGGTTTATTATTGGATTGCATTCATACATAAAATACAAAAAAAAACCTTAATGAAAATATTTACAAAATGTACAAAATGTAAGATTATATTACATGAATCTGACTATAAACAAAACAACTTTGTTCAGAGTTATTTTTTGTTGTTTCTTATATAAAAATATGCATGTCTTACATATCAAAATTATTGCACCTTGCAACTCTTATCTTTGGTACCGCACTGAACACGCCGGCCGATACTCCTGTAACACACTTATAAATTATTCTGTACCTGAAATTAATGGCTTTTAGAGAGAGCAACAAAACAATCCAGTCGACGAATCAGTGTTTGAGGATCGAGTGATGGAATGTGGGTCAATTAAAGGCCTCTTTAATACATAATCAGGGTTTGAAATTAATTATTCACTCACCGGACAATTTGGCTACAATAAGGGTGAAACTCGAACCATTAGAATATTGTGCAATATATATTACAATTATAGCTTACAGCTTATGAAAACTGAATTTTGAATTTGGGGTTTTCATAAGCTGTAAGCCATAATCATCACAATTATAACAAATAAAGGCTTGAAATATCTCACTTTGCATGTAATGAGTCTATATAATATATTAGTTTCACCTTTAAGTTGAATCACTGAAATAAATGTACTTTTGCACCATATTCAAATTTTTCGAGTTTCACCTGTTTTTTAAGTTACCAGACATTCTGAACTTATGCGAGCCAAAAGTAAAAAAGAAATAAACCAGAGTAACTATACGTCACAGGATATACGTAATATTTTGATTTCATACATTCATTCGTATTCTCCTCCTTTCCAAAATGTGTTTTAGATGGACAGATCAATACATTACAAAGAACAAAGAAATGTAGGATGTGAATGATACGAATGATTTTAATCTTCGCTATCGCTTCAATGCAAGCATTATGTGGAGCGTAGTGATGAGTGTGTTCAAGTAAGCCAGATATGAGCAGATTCTTCTCTGTATTTAATATATAATGATGACGAATGTTGAGTATTTGCGCTAAATCTGCACAGATTTGGTTTGGCAAATGAGTAATAAGTAACTCGCCAAATTGGCTAGTGATTTTTCCCGCCACATTTGATTTTTCCCGCCACATTTGGCGAGTGTTAATTTCAAACCCTGCATATAATCTAATGTGTATCCCTGATATTCATATACTTCCAGTCTTTAGTTTGGCACTTGGCATCTCCAAGTTTTGTCGGTAAGTAGACGCACGTTCCAGTATTGTCCCAGCTCTCGAGTCACCAGCATGTTGGAAGACGACGACGAAAAAAAAAAAAAAGAAGAAAAAGCAGAAATTCCCAACCCTGATGCTGTGGAAAACACAGCTTGTCGTAGAGTTTCTCCGGCTATGTTTACATGCACAACTTTCCTTTCAATCTGAATGTAGTGTTTACATGAACGCTGAACATGTGATCGGGTTGATGTGTGTTTATACTTTAAATATTGTCGTTTTGGTGATCAAAGATGAGTTTATATGTCATAAGCTTCAATTTGGATATATTGTTTGACATGCGCACGAGTTTCTGCTGTTTATGCGTAATAACTATTCACATGCACTGATTCTTTGTTTTAAACATCAGACTTAATATGTATTCATTTCTGGTCATAATTTGGAGATAATGAGCGCATGAGCCGTTGTGCCGCTAATTATATTCATTCTTTCGTCTGTGGATGAGAGTCTGAAGCCAGCACTGGTGGTGGTGATAATATAAATATATAAATAATATACTGTAATTAATATGTTGTTAATGTAGTGAAATAATAATGTAATTTTATAATGACGGGAAATTATACGACACTTTCAACAGGAACAACAGCTCGTTCTGTCATACTTCATTACGCTATTTCCACGTCATTACGCTGTTTCTATGGCATTTCAACACCATTTCAACGTCATTTCAACGCCATTACGCTATTTTACGTAATTTCAACGGCATTACGCCATTTCAATGTCATTACGCTATTTCTACGCCATTTCAACGTCATCATGTCATTTCAACGCCATTACGCTATTTCTGCAAAATTTCAACGTCATTATGCTATTTCTACGTCATTTCAATGCCATTAGGCTATTTCTACGCCATTTCAACATCATCATGCCATTTCAACGTCATTACGCCATTTGAACATCATCACGCTATTTCTTTGTCAGTTCAATCAACATCATTACGTCATTTCAACATCATCACGCTATTTCAATGCCATTTGTAGACCATTTAAACGTCATCAGGCCATTTGTAAGCTATTTCAAATGTCATCACGCCATTTGTACGTCATCGCTCATGCTCAGTCTTTCAGTTTCGATTTTCAATCCGATCAAGTTTTCACATGTTCTCTCAATCGAATTAGAAAAAGAATAAACACTCCTTTACATCGGATTGAAATCTAATTGGGATCGAGCTCAATCGGATAGATTCATGCGTTTACATGAAGGCTTTTAGTGATTGAGCCGATTACTAACGGATTCCTTAGCTTGCATGTAAACATAGCCGCTGACTCTTTTTCAAAGGCAACACTTGGTTCTCCAGTCTCTCCACTGGGGTTGTGGTCCTCCAGGTTTGGTTATAGATGGCGCTTCATGTGCAGTGCGAGGTGGTCGGAACGGGAGAATGCCCGGTCGCACTTCTGGCACTGGAACGGTCGGTGTCCCGTGTGTTTTCGGTAGTGCCTCGTGAGCTCGTCCGAGCGGGCGAACTTCCAGCCACATCCCTCCCAGTCACAGTGATACGGCTTTTCTCCTAAACAAAAACATATGCAACAGTTAGCGCTTTACCCTCAGGTGCTAACGAGAACAATCACACACAATTAAAGAGAGGGAGAGGCCATTCAGGTGTTGCTCGTCCTTTGGTTTATTGAATAGAAGGGGAAGTCAAACACAGGCTTGTGGTTTATTTCATCAGGGATCAGTATTAACCTGCTGTTCGACTAGCAGAACACCTGCCAACTGAACTCTCCCTCTTCAGATCGGCATTACAGCACATGTGTGTCAAACAGGGCTTGGGAAGGGAAAAGCGAATACTTGAGGTCAGGAATCGGATACCTGTTATAAAATTAAAATTGCGATTCCAATTCCTTTGTGAGGATTTCAATATGAGAGATATTAGGCATTGAAAACTGTCGTCTCATGCTTGAATGGTTTAAATCACATTTTCTGCGCACGTTTTGGGTCTGCAGCTCTTAAACTGATTATCAATATTAATAACTAATATTCCTCCCGTCTCTATAATAACACTAATCAAACAACACAAGACAAAGAGAAAATTCCATTACTCTTCACTGAATAACTTTTGTAACAGTGTATATTTATATAAAATATAGTTAATGATTAAACACAGTGCGGTGCAATGATTAATTGCATCCAAAATAAAAGTTTGTGTTTACATAATATGTGTGTGTACTGTGTATAATTATTTTGTATATATAAATACACACATGCATGCATGTATGTATTTAAGAAATATTTGCATGTATATATACACTGTATATATGAAGAGTTCAGATGCAAAAGCCTCTAAATGCCATTTGAAATTTTCTTCTTTAATGATGATTTTTTATCAAGCTTGTATATTTAAGTTCAGTGATTTCACTTAAATGGCAATGATAATTACCTATTAATTGTTATTTAAGTGAAATCACTGAACTTAAATATACAAGTTTGATAAAAATCATCATTAAAGAAGAAAATTTCAAATGGCATTTAGAGGCTTTTGCATCTGAACTCTTCATATATTTATACATATTTTATATTAGATCTAAATATACATATTTTATACATAACATTTTTCTTAAATACATATACAAAATAATAATTATACACAGTACACACACATATTATGTAAACACAAACTTTTATTTTGGATGTGATAATCATTGCACAGCACTATTTTGTAACTTTATTTGTATTGTATATTTCATTTATAATGTGCAGTGTTGTTTTACATTTAATACATTTTCTGAACTTGGAAATCTTAAAACACTTTATTTCAAACGTATTTTTGTTCAGTTCTATTTATTTGTTGAGATTGCTAATTGTTTCCAGTTGTTTTTTTTTAATTGTCAAGTCATTACTTGTCTTTAATAATGCTTGAAGTGTATATTGGTTCGGCTAGTGTTTTTATGATGTTTTTAAACCACTGGCAAGCGTTCCTTGTGGAACTAAGTGTTCTTCAGCTGATGATTTCTGCTCATGATATACAGCTACAATTAAATGTTCATTAATCAGCAAGTGAAGCTGAAGTTGCTGAACACACATCTGATGTTTTCAGGACTGTTAACGACAGCAAGAAAGATGCCAGTCCTGTTCCCTCATCAGCTCAGCCTCTGATTGGTCCAGCCGTTGTGATTGACAGGGGGATCGACCAACCCACTAACACTGTGGATGCCACAGGGGCGGATCAATCGGACCAATCCAAGAGACCGATTCAGAACCAAGAAGAGGAAGGACAGACACTGACCTGTGTGAGTCCTGTGGTGGGCTTTGAGATGCGAGCTCTTGGTGTATGTTTTCCCGCAGCCTGCGTAATCGCACGTGTGTGTCGCGATCCGCTTCCTCGGCCAGGAGCGGCGACCCCGCTTGGGCTTGGACTCTTCCGGCAAACCCTCAGCTGGAGAAATCAGCTCTGCCAAAGAAAAAAAAAATGGGCAAAATTAGCTATATAGACCAAAGCCACTGTTTGCGCCAACAATCCACCTGTCACTTAAGTGGCCACGCCCTTAATTATGCAGAACTTTAAACGGATGAGTTATAAAAATATTCACTGTCCTCAGTCATCATGAAGGGCAACATTAGCAATAAAGGCCAAAACCTTTTTTTTGCCCCAGACTATATACATGTTTTTTAGCTGTAAAGTTGGGCATTTTAACACGCGACCCCGCGTGTATGGGATCGAGTCTCTTCTGCAGCCGGCCTCTAGTGGCCATCGGAGGAACTACAGGTTAACTCACTCAGTGTTTGATTCAAGAGAGAGGGAGGTTAACGCTTGGTTAAAATTTAGTGCTTAAAATGACTGCTTTGGTTGAGCTTTGACAGAAAGCAGTCGTCTGACTGACACAGATGTTAACAGCATTAATGTCATGCAGAGCAATCCTGTTCCTGGAGCTCCCAGCCCAATCAAACACTTCAGCTAGTGGATTCAGAGGACCCGGGGCACAGACAGGTGTGTACGAGTGAAAAAGTCACAGTGAAAAATTTTACATTACGGTTTTTTTTTTTTAGAATTTTTTACTTCAACGGAATTTAACAAAACTTGGCAAAGGCATTTGTTTTAGCTGTTATGTGAACACCAAAAATCATGGACATGATTAAACAGGGTAAATGGTCCTGTAAAAAATAGTCTCACTTGCGCTCCTCATGGTAAAAAATGAGCGAGTTTCCTCTAGTGGAAGCGTTTGGTACTGCAGCTGAACAACATCTCACTGGAAGCTAATTTTTTTTTAGATATTAACCTCAAATTTGGACGTTTTTGAGTAAAATGTGATTTTAAAATATATATTTCATATACAAATTTAAAATAGTATTTTTGTGCAGTTTCCATAACAATACTCGTAAATTCTGTTACTTTTAAAAAAACTTCTTTCACTTCAGCAATAATCTGCCAAGTGTCATCTTTGAGATCAAACTTCAGTCTGTTACTTTAATTAAAGCATTCAACAATTACAACAGTTTAAGTTAGAAATTAAATTTTTAGGTTTATGCTCAAATTTAATAAATGGATTATAAATACAGAATAAATATAATTAAGTATAAAAAAATAATATAGAACATTCATTTCATTTCATTCATTTTTGACCGACATGCGAAATGCACCAACGGGTTAAAGGTCAAATGGGTAATAGTAGTGACTGACCTTGGTACTGAGCAGGAGGCTGCGGAAAACCAGAATAACCGGAATAGCCCAGAGATAATGAAGGCTCTCCCAACACCTGAGCTTGAGGTTGCTCGTCCGGAGAGAGAGAAGAAGTGGAAGATCGACCCGTGCCGAAACCGTGAGGATCCAACAGCGTTCTCGGACCGACCCCGGAGCCGGAGTTCAATCCCAAGTGAATATCCATGGGTCGGGAGATGCTGCAAGTGCTAGGACACTCCTGTTTAATCGGAGGACATACGATCGGCACAGAAGACGTGTCCAACATTAACCCGCCCTTGCTGATGCTGTAATCACTCATGTCCCTGGTGGTCTTCACCACAAATTTCCCTTGGAGGCTCGTGGGATGAAGATACGCAGGATCCAGCTCCGGTCTCATCAACTCCGCGACGAAACCTCCAGAGGGAGACACGTCGCTGATGTCCGGTATGTTGTACAACATGTTGTTGTCCTGGTCCTGAGGAGAGGGCATCTGATAGGTGTAGGACGACGGGGACGGAGGGAGAGGTCTGGACGTCGAGGCCTCCTGTTGCTGTTGTTGCTGTTGTTGTTGTTGTTTTTGAAACATGCTGTTCGACAGAATAAAATCATAGTCCAATTGGTCGAGCTCTTCCGGTTCCCTCTTGGTCATGACGGATGGGACGTCAAGGTCAGTGCAAGTCCCGCCTGAAGACATGCAGGGGTGTTTCAGCTGACACATGTCCTCCATCCATCTCTTATTTCAAACACAGACATGCAGAGACAGGGAATAAGACAAGGTGAGTCTCACAGACGTATTCGGCAAACATTTATTCTTGCATGCTAAATAATCAGCAAAATATCATGTTGATTTTAATCTGATGTTATGAATTATTAAAAGACTCTTAAATCCACCATTATGTTCCCAACTAAGAGAATCCACCCTGAAGTGGACAAAGACGTAATCATCAAACATTTATTCTTGCATGGTAAATAATTGCCAAACTATCATGTTGATTTTAATCAACCTGGTTGTTCTGATGTTATGAATTATTGAAAGACCCTTTCATGCAGAATTATGTTTAAGAGAATCCCAACCTGGAGTGGACGATAAACTAAATAATAAGTCTCAAAGATGTAATTATTTAATGAATGAAATTAAAGGATGTTTATTCTTGAATGCTAAATAATCGCCAAACTATCAGTTGATTTTATTATGAATTATTAAAAAACTCTTTCATTCAGCATTATGTTCTTAACAAAGAGAATCCCAACCTAAAGTTAAATAAGTCAATATCTCTCAAAAACGTAATTATCAAATGCGGACGTTTATTCTTGCATGCTAAATAATTGCCAAACTATGTTGATTTTAGTCTGATGTTATTAATTATTAATAGACACTTTCATAGGTTTCCAATTTAGAAAATCCAACCTGAAGTGGAGGATAAATAATAAGTTTCAAAGACGTAATTATCAAATGCGAACGTTTATTTTTGCATGCTAAATAATCGCCAAACTATCAGTTGATTTTAATCTGATGTTATGCCTTAAGTGCAGGACTGTTTTTATTTTTCCAGCTATAGTGCCTTAAGGACAATCCAACCTGGGGTGTGAGTTAAGGAAGACTGTCGGACAGCGCGAGGAGCTCGCGAGGTTCACGCCTCTGCCCCGCGCGTCGCTCGAGGAATATTAACTATATATGAGCCGATGACATAATCTCACCTGCAGCGGAATTTCGCGAGTAAAGCGCCTGAATGTTCGCGTGAACTGATTGCTGACCATCACCTGTCTGATAGATGAGATACTCACCGAACTGGCATTTCCAGGTCCAATAATGGCATTGTGCTTCACATCAGCAAAGCTGGAGATCGAGGGCAAAAGCGTGCCGCTCAGAGCCATACTGTCAAACTCACTCGGTGGCTGCCTGCAATTGAAGAAAAAAGGTAAAAATAAAAGAAAAAATAATCCTAGTCACGCTGCTGGGCTGGGGAAAACTATCGCTCCTAAACATGACACAAAAGCCCAAAGGAAAAAAGTATTGGAGAAGTGCAAAACGCACCTCATGAGTCCAGTCAAAATATGAAATCCTCAGTGTTTTAATTCTGCAACACTGACAGTAATGTCCAACGCGCGCGTCAGACGCGTGTCCGTGCCATGTCGATGGACACGCGCATCAGAACCCGGCTCGGTTTCGTTTCGTCGGGGAATCCCTGTCTATCGGTTCCCTCTCAGTGCCATTCGGGACGCGCTCGTTCTCCGCGCTGTGGACTCGAGTGAGTGAGTTGTCAAACTAGGGCTTTCCTCGCCTAGTTCTTAAACCCCGGACACGCCCCTCGTCGCCAGGCAACCGAAGGAAAAAACACGGCGTGACGTCATTCAGAAGAGAAAAAATAATAAAAAATCTGGCAGCGCGCCGGTATTTTGTATCCACACAAACATGTGCGTGTTAGCAACCGGGACTCACTCGAGGAACAATCAGTGGTGAACAAAAAAAAAAAAAAAAGAAAAAGAAAAGTTGGCGAGTGTTAGTGCTCGAGCAGAAAAGTAGTTTGATGTGTTTTGTAAAATGTGTGTGTGTTACCTGTGACACCTGTGCGTGCGTAATGAGTTTAAACGCAAACTGCTCCTGTCCTGTAAGGCGTGGCTGTAATTAACGCTAATTATTATACCGCAATGCACAGGACAATGGCTGACCGAAATGTGTGGGATTTCTTCCGTGATGAAATGCAGTATCCCTCCATTCATTCATTCATTCATTCATTCATTCATTCATTCATTCATTCATTCATTCATTCATTCATTCATTTATGTTTATCAACAGATCATGAGTACAAATCTGTTGTTAATCCTGATTATTTCAGGTCTTATGTGAGCATTCTCACTTGTTGGTATATATTTTTTATAATTATCTACTTATCTTTGCACATCATTTGTTTTTTAAATTCACATGCCCTGATCTTTAATCAGAATAACATCCTTTTGCATCATCTCTTCTTTAATATGTTATTTTATGGAAATAATTACATCGTAAGCGAGTGTTGAGTTGTGTTTCGGTCTAGTATACCACATTTGTGATGTTTCTTGATGTTATCTTTCCTAAAATCTGAATCAAGAGGCACTAAATATATATTTTTTTGCAGTGTGAATATCTGAGTGTGATGTTTCAGAAGGCATAAACTCGTCCCCGTTTCGGAGGATTTGCCATGTCTACAGTCGTGTTTGTATGAAGAGCAAACACAAGCGCTGAGACCATCCTGGTACATCAGGATCTAGTTCGTTTGGCTCTGTCAACAGCAGGCCTTCATTTAGACACACACACACACACACACACACTGAAACGTCTCACTATGCTTACATGTCATGACTAGGCTAATGCAGATATAGAGAAATATTGATATGTGGATTGTGGAGTTCTTTGCTCTTTGAGCCTGACTGAATGAGTGCTTTAGGAAAGAGACGTTCTGCGGTTTTATCGAGTGCCATCGTCTGCTGTTTATTTACCCTCCTTTGCACTGATCTGCGATAAGCTTTCTCCATTTCGGAATGTGAAAATACCGCTTTCTGAAGAGCTCAACATGTGGGGTGATGAAACCGTGGCACTGCAAGAGCGGGCATGATCTGCTGAGGTTATTATAAAGGCAGTTATGATTATTATAAAGGCTGTGATGATTATTTTAGTTTTTTTTAATGAGCTTTTATGCACGAACATTCCTAAAGGAGCATCATTTCCCTGGCATGTGTGTGTGTTTGATGATTGACTCTGATAGTCATATGCGCTCTACCTGTGGGAACATCTTGACAGACTCACTATATCCAGGAATCAGAATGCAAATGAGATATTTAAATAAACAGGTGATTTTCCTTCAGTTAATTTGCATATGGTGGAGTTGGTGGAGGTAGATTAAGTTATACGATACTGCATAATCACTAACAAGTGTGTTCAATGATCATGAATGAACAGTATCAGAGCAGCTTATGTTTGTTCAGTCACTATCAATCCTGAACAAATGAGTTTCACAGACGAGGCTTTACTAGTCCCAGACTGAAGTGCATGTTTGAGCTGTTTTACCTGAGAGCTTTTTGTAAAATATGATTGTTTTGTCTCAAGATGCATATTGGGAATTTTTATTTTCTAAAGCACATTTATAAAAGCTACTTAAATGGGCCTAATCCTGGCTTAATCTAAACCCTGTCTGTGGAACTAGGCCTATATTTATGCAGTTTTCTGCTTATTTATTTATTAAACTCTTGAGTTTTTCCTCAAATGCCTAAACTCTTCATTCTTCTGTTCTGTCCTAAGCTTTCATTCTCTTTATGCACATGCTTCCGTATCTGATTCTCATCAGAAACGTAGGCTTTGTTCATTTCTATATCTCACACTGCAAAAAAAATCCATTAAATTTACTGTAATAAAACGGCAGCTGAGGTTGCCAGAAATTTACTGTAAAAAATATGAAAGCAACATTTTAGATTTTACAGACTTAACTTAAATTTACAGTGAAAAATCGTATTTCACTATTGATATAATGTTAATTTACAGATCTGTTGAGGACTATTATCTGTTTGGTACCATTGTAGAACACTGACAACCACCAATTACAGCGGAGATGCGAGTCACATGACTAATCACAGCGGAAATGCAAGTCACATAACCAATCACAGCGGAGATGCGAGTCACATGATCAATCACAGTGGAGATGCAAGTCACATGACCAATCACAGCGGAGAGGCGAGTCACATGATCAATCACAGCGGAGATGCGAGTCACATGACCAATCACAGCGGAGATGCGAGTCACATAATCAATCACAGCAGAGATGCAAATCACATGACCAATCACAGCGGAGATGCGAGTCACATGATCAATCACAGTGGAGATGCAAGTCACATGACCAATCACAGCGGAGAGGCGAGTCACATGATCAATCACAGCGGAGATGCAAGTCACATGACCAATCACAGCGGAGATGCGAGTCACATAATCAATCACAGCAGAGATGCGAGTCACATGACCAATCACAGCGGAGATGCGAGTCACATAACCAATCACAGCGGAGATGCAAGTCACATAACCAATCACAGCAGAGATGCGAGTCACATGACCAATCACAGCAGAGATGCGAGTCACATGACCAATCACAGCGGAGATGCGAGTCACATGATCAATCACAGCAGAGATGCGAGTCACATGATCAATCACAGCGGAGATGCGAGTCACATGACCAATCACAGCGGAGATGCAAGTCACATAACCAATCACAGCGGAGATGCGAGTCACATGATCAATCACAGCGGAGATGCGAGTCACATGACCAATCACAGCGGAGATGCAAGTCACATAACCAATCACAGCGGAGATGCAAGTCACATGACCAATCACAGCAGAGATGCGAGTCACATGACCAATCACAGCGGAGATGCGAGTCACATGACCAATCACAGCGGAGATGCAAGTCACATAACCAATCACAGCGGAGATGCGAGTCACATGATCAATCACAGTGGAGATGCAAGTCACATGACCAATCACAGCGGAGATGCGAGTCACATGATCAATCACAGCGGAGATGCGAGTCACATGACCAATCACAGTGGAGATGCGAGTCACATGATCAATCACAGCAGAGATACATGTCACATGATCAATCACAGCGGAGATGCGAGTCACATGATCAATCACAGCGGAGATGCGAGTCACATGACCAATCACAGTGGAGATGCGAGTCACATGATCAATCACAGCAGAGATACATGTCACATGATCAATCACAGCGGAGATGCGAGTCACATGATCAATCACAGCGGAGATGCGAGTCACATGACCAATCACAGCGGAGATGCGAGTCACATAACCAATCACAGCGGAGATGCAAGTCACATGATCAATCACAGTGGAGATGCAAGTCACATGACCAATCACAGCGGAGATGCGAGTCACATGACCAATCACAGCGGAGATGCGAGTCACATGACCAATCACAGCGGAGATGCGAGTCACATGATCAATCACAGCGGAGATGCGAGTCACATGATCAATCACAGCGGAGATGCGAGTCACATGATCAATCACAGCAGAGATGCGAGTCACATGACCAATCACAGCGGAGATGCGAGTCACATGATCAATCACAGCGGAGATGCGAGTCACATGATCAATCACAGCGGAGATACGTGTCACATGATCAATCACAGCGGAGATGCGAGTCACATGACCAATCACAGCGGAGATGCGAGGAATTGTGGAAATTTACGTTTTTTCATTGTAAATTGTACAATGACTTCCAAAAACTTATTTTACTGTAAAATTATATTAAACGTAAGGTTAGATCTTTTACAGTTATTTACCGTATATAGAACAGAAACTGACCCCATTGGCAGATCATTTTAAGCAAAAACTCTCTCAATTTGTATTTATTTTTTATTTATTTCCCCAGAAAACAAGACATAATATCTTATGGCATTAAGTAAAGGCATCTTGATTTAAAAGTGATATTTGGACTGGACACAACACACAAATCTTCAGTAAGAGAGCCTGTGTTCAGTGTAAGGACCCAATCCGAGAGGAGAGAGTTGGGAGAGTGTGTGTGAGCGAGAGCTCCAGTCGCGAGGCGTTCTGCACCGCCTCTGAGTTCGAAGGGATTCCTTCTCAGCCTTAAATATGCTGGTTATTTTTAACTGTGTGTGTAAGAGTCCCAGCGCCGCCTCCCTCGTCACACTGTTCCTCTCCAGCCAGCAGGAACACGGACCGGAGCCACGCTTCCTGATCACATGACCTGATCTCAGTCCCAGAACACCACAGCGTGTGTGTGTGTGCGCGTGTGTGTCCCAGAACACCACAGCGTGTGTGTCCCAGAATACCACAATGTGTGTGTTCCAGAACGCCACAGCATGTGTGTTTGTGTGCGTGTGTCCCAGAATACCACAATGTGTGTGTCCCAGAACACCACAGCGTGTGTGTGTGTGTGCGTGTCTCAGAACACCACTGTGTGTGTGTGTGTCAGTCCCAGAACACCACAGCGTGTGTGAGTGTCCCAGAATACTACAGTGTGTGTGTGTGTGTGTGTGTGCCAGAACACCACAGCGTGTGTGTGTGTGTCCCAGAAGACCACAGCTTGTGTGTGTGTGTGTGTCCCAGAACACCACAGCTTGTGTGTGTCCCAGAACACTACAGCTTGTGTGTGTGTGTGTGTGTGTGTGTGTGTCCCAGAACACTGGAACTTGTGTGTGTGTGTCCCAGAACACCACAGTGTGTGTGTGTGTGTGTGTGTGTGTCCCAGAACACTGGAGCTTGTGTGTGTG